ACGGAAGGTTTCCAGATGGATATGCGGAGCAAATCCATCTGGCGGAGTCAGGTTATCATATAGTAGCATCTGTGGAGCAATCTGTATGGGTCAGGGATCCGCCCCCTTTTTAAAGGGACAGGGCGCACTACTATCAGATCGAACCCGGAAGTAGGGCCTTTATGTGCTGTGGGTTACATTAGCAGCGACCGTCTAGGTACTCCATAATTGTTACAGAAACATACAGGGAAAGCTCAGGTCAATCAACAAAATCAATCAACTTTGGATCCATTAATTAACCAATAACTTTCATCCACATTCGATTCTCTCTTATCATCCTCCCAATCTGAAGATGGTTCTTTTAAGTAAATGTCTGAGAAAAAAAAAATATTTTAATCACTATGAAAGCTTTTGACAACCAAGTTTTTTTAAGATTTAGACATGGAGGAAATGACCGAAAAAATGGAGAAAGTAAAAAGCCTGCATTGGGATGGAGTCAAACACGGTATTGCCTGGTACATTCCCCTTACGGTCTAAGGAGAATTAATAAATGTATCATTAAATATTCATAAACCTGAACTCGTGACCCCTACAAACCATAATAGCTTTAAGAGGCTTCCTATCCAAACTGTCAACTACCCTCTTTCAATTTCCCAGTTTTCTAGTTGTGATCAAAGCAGTGCTTTGATGATGCATTCCTACATCCTCATACCTGCAAAACGTTCCTTATTTTATGCAGAAGCACCTGCAGAACTACCTGCACATTATTAGATACAGGAGTTCCAATCACTTCACATCATATGGCCACAGGTTTATAAATTGAAGCACCAAGGCATGCAGACTCATGATGGGAGGCCTCACTGAATAATGCAGTGGGTCTGCTGGCAGAAGCAGACAATAGATGGTCCCTGAAGGAGAACTTGAGATCTGCGTCTGCTTAAGTGGATCAGCATCCTATCAGCTATGAAGATTTTTTTTTCCCCAATTCCCTTTAAGTTGAACTCTACTCAATGTTTCTACTGCATTTTGCACCATATTTTTCTGATCACATCTGCATTTTATAAATCGAAATATTAATTTAAATGTTGTAAGCTTCTCTTTCACTGTTGAGAAACTGTATGCATCGAAATGTTGTATACACTCTGTGTATATAAGATGACAAAGTTTGTCTATGTTTAATGAGAATAAAATCATAATATTATGAGAATAATGTTGTATTTTATGACAACTCTTACAAGAAGTACCTTTTTTTTTTCAAAAATTAGGAATGTTCAGGATCCTTTGAAGGATCTGTTGCAGATTCCTAAATTTCCTATCTTTAAACAAAGATTTGAAAAGCAGCCCATTGAAGAGGACAGAAGGAATACTGTGGCTGGAGGATCTGAGAGGAGATGTTATCAAAGTGCAAACAGAAAGGTGCATCACTGTGGCCTTTATTTCCTACATCTGCAAAGGACATGTCCATTTACCCCCAACTCAATGATAAGATCATTTTTACTAGGGATGCACGATATAATCGGCCCCCTATCGGTATCGGCCTTAAAACTGATATATTGATCAGCTTCTGAGTTTCTAAAGTCTAACAAAAAAAATACTTCTTCCTCAAAAACTTCTTTTTTACAGACTTAAAAACTTCTAAAGACGAGGGAAAAAATATTGATCCATTAAAATATCCCAATATCTTCATATGCTGATATATATTGCCATTTAAAAACACCATATCAATCTCTTTTACTGATGAAATATTGCTATATGTCATCGTTATGCTACGAAATCCCC